ATAACAAACGAGTGAACTTTACTAATAGTCGTCATCCAAGATTAAAAAAGAAGCATTTAATCATGCACATGCAAAATTGAAGAATGTTATTGAACGAGTATTTGATGTTCGAAAACAAGATTTCTAATTCTAAAGACAATGACCCATATCCATTTACGAGTTTAGAGAGATATTATTATTGTAAGTGTTGCAATACATAATTATCTTCGAAAACCAATTATTACCGACAACGTTTTTGAACAATTTGATAGCGATTATGTGATGCATCAAACACTAAATATTGCTGCAAATTTACCATTCACCGAGGAGGGGGGCAAGCACGAGCCGATCAAACATTAATGATTAATTTGTGAGGCTAAATTACAAATGAATTGATTAATATTTAAAATTTCTTTTATTTTGTACATGATAAGGTAATTAATTTTATCTTAGACCATGTTTTTTTTTTTTATTAATAATCATTTTTATTGAATATTTATTTATTTATTTATACACATAAATACGTCTACGAATATATTTTTATTTGTGTTAAAAAAATATCATGTTACAATTGAAAGGTTAAAATTGTCGGGTATATAGCCTTAATAAGTTCAGCAACAATACTTATCAAACAACCTTAGTATATCGAGTACTTAATTTTCAATAAATACCAAACAGTTTGTCGGTAATATATTCGGTAATTAGTTATTTAGTACTTAAAATTCAATATTTAACAGATTCGATACTTAATTTTCAATTTTATCAAATATCTCTTTAGATTTAATCTAATTTATTTAGTTCTTAGCCACAGTGGAATACAACCATGGGCATAGTATAGGCTATAATGGAGCATTTGTCCCGTTAAAAAGAAGAGCATCAAAACATATAATACCATATTAAATATGAACCCGTTGTTTGCCTCACACTCCCATGACTGAGCTAGGTTCGAGTCTGGGCCCATATGAGTAGCTCTTAAGAAATTAACTATTAGGGCCGGACTCAAACTCGGATCTTCAACACTTGAGTTGATTTTCCTTTCACAGTTTCACTAAGTACCATAACAAGTCTTGTTGTGGAGGGAATTAGGTGCTTCCTTCCTTTGCAGTTTATACCATATCCAAGTAGTGGAGTACCATCTGCAGATTCATTCGCGGCCCCCTACTGTCAGTTCTTCACTATTGGGATTGGCCATATTAGGTTGTACTAGCCCTCTTTGTTGACATCCAAACCTTGTTTAGAATCAGGTTTCAACTAGTTTAGACTTCAACCCGTATGAAAACATGCTATAGTTACATTAGATTAATTAATGGTGATACATGACAGTACTGGTCTTGAGTATATCCTAGGCTCGCATAGCGTTACTAAAGAAACTTAGCACCCCAAGGTTTCATTGAGCGAGGAATTGTTACTTTAACAAACAGGTTGCTAGCACTCAGATAAAGAGATAATAACATAATAAATGCGTGTATTTTGATAATTCTCACAATTTGAATGTGTCAGAATTTATTTGTTTCGAATAGATATGTGAACTCTTAAAATTCTGGGTATGTGTTATAAGTTCAATCCATGAATGACCATAGCATAAGCTATTAAAAAATTAATTAGGAAAATAGATTAATAAAAAAATAATTAATTAGAAAAAAAATAAGTTTATCAGGAAAATGACAATTGGGAAACTAGAAAAGAAAAATTTATTTCATTATTCTTTTGAGCCGAGACATGCTTTGTCTTTCTTTTGTATCCAGTTACCAAGAGAGAGTAATTGGCGAAAAAAACTTGATTTTTTTTTCTGTGATAGAGATGATTATTTTTTAACGTAAATCTAGTGTTTTTGTGTGGTTGCATTCTTATAATTGATTTATTTTTTACCCTTTATTATTGTGTGTATTTGGTTTAATTATTTTCTTACAAAATCTAATTTATACAAAGTGTAATTGAATTTCTAACATAAAATTATAACACAAGTGAAATTTAAGGAACTGATATGTATGACAAGGAAACATTGTTAAGTGTCATTTAAGAGTTGTGATAATTGCGACATGGATATTAAGTGATGATGTTGCACTAATGACACAGAAAAACAGTTTTTGATGGAAATTTTCCTCCAGTTCTTTTTTTTTTTTTTTTTTACTTTTTACAAAAAATATAAAATGTACTTTTAGCAATGTAAAATATTAAATTATTTTAGCAATATAAAATATTCAATTATTTTTTCTTTTTATATTTTCATATTTGATTAATTTGTTTTTACTATAAATCTAAGATAAAACAAAAATTTGTTAGCTAATAGTATAAACTGTTCATGGTAATTGTAATTTGAATAAAATAAAAGCAATATTTTTTTGTTAGATTATCAAAAATATAAAAAAAGATGATTTTTATAAATTATAGTTTGGATCATTTATGGAAAATGGAAATTTCTTTTGTATTCTTTATGATAGTTTTATCTGAGTTATCATTAAATCACTTAATATCCATATGATCATAACTACCACCTCATCATTTAAATGACACCTCAATAATATATATATATATATATATATCACTTAGATTGTAAAAATTCTCAAAATATACATGATTATACTTATTGTGTTATTGCCTCCTTAGACTAAATGGTCGTTCAATATATCTTGACTATTTGTGTAATTGGACCCGTGAGCTAAATATCACCGGGCCAACCATTTACAAAGCTCCTTTGAGCCCAACATCATGAAGCTCCTCAATTATCACGTACACAGACATACATTTGCAATTAGGGACTTTGACGTTGAGGGCACAATTAATTAGGTTGCCAAAAAATGAAGTTACAGCTTACGTACATAAGTGGAGTGATAATTGATGATAAGCTTTGTTTAAGAGAAAACGAAGAATTACTGATAAATGTCCTATTGGCGAACATCAAGGAAACCAGGTGATGAATCTTTCTTTGTGTCTAAAATTATGACCATCTCCTGAGAGTTGTAGGCATGAGAAGGCTTTTCTGCTTTCCGTGTCTAAAAATATACAATAAGTATTAAAATAGATATATATATATATATATATAATTTTAAGATATGAATATCTATTGTTTATCTTATTAATATTTATTATTTTATTTTATTTTTTATTAACATATAGAAATCTAATTGCATAAAATTTAAAAATTAAGGGTTAAAATATTTTTTTCAAAAACTTTGAGGATAAAAATAACTTAAAAATAAATGAGCAAAGTACAAAAGATAAATTTTAAAGACCAAAATTTTTTTAAAAAAAATTATAAGGACTAAAAAAGAATATTTTTGATAAATTAATTTTAATCGGGATTAAATATGTAAAGATTTATATAGTAATTTTTTTAATAAGTAAATAATAAGGTTTCAATGTTCTATTTTTTTACTAAGCAGATAGTAGGCTTTGATGGAATTCAAAAATCCCATATACATATGTCATGATAATTATTCAATATGTTCCGTAGATCTGAGAAACCATAAACTTCAATTGTCCTATATTTATACTTTCATGGCCTTGAAACGTTATAGTATTTATTATTAGCATTTTTTACTAGATTTGATTATTATCAAGTCCATTGAGGCAAATCTATCTTTAATATGCCAGATGGACGCATTTGAATCATGACAAAAGACAAATTATTCAATTACATTTATAACAAATCAAATTAGAAGAAAGAATACAAATCAAATTAAATGGTAAATTCGGACGGTAATTAATGTAATGCTATTTTTTTAAGAAATAAGTACAGTGAATTCTCTCTTTTGCTCTCCAGTCTTTTTTTTAAAAAAAGTTTTTCTTTTATGAGCTTATACTGCTGAAATTTTCACCTCCAACAACAATTTTTTATTTTTTATTTTATCTCTTTCATCTACGATATAATTTCAAATCTAACTAGATCTTGTTATAAAATAATGAATATTCATTTTTTTTATTTTTCATAATTATTCATATTCTTTAATGTGATTCGATTTACTATTATCATATATAAATATATTTTATTCTCTAATAAATTTATAATCTAGAATGTATTAAGCAAATAAATAAAAATAAAAGTTATTTTTTTTTATCATCTTTCTTTCTAACTATTTTACTGTTATTATTACTTTTATAATTATGTTATCATTAATTTTATAATAGTTGTTTTTTTTTTTTACTATTTTTCTTAGTTTGTAGTTTGTCTAGTATTTTTATTATTATGTTATCGTCAACTCTCTCTTAAGTTTGTTCGTACTGTAATTAAAATTTTATATAGATTATTAATAAATTAATCTTCGGGCTAAAAAAGAAGTATAAGTGGAAAATTAAGGTTCAAGGTAGGTTTTTTGTGTCGCAATGAAAATTTCATGCAAATTACTATATTTGGTCTTCATATTGTCCTTAGGTTGGACCAATTATCCAAAGAGGATCGCTTAATTGTAGCAAGAACACAAAAAATTGAGTTTTTCTTATCACAATCCCTTTTTATAGCTTACGGGATATCCTCTAAGTGTTTCAGTTAATGAAACGATCGCATACTCAATATCATAGATACATATAGAATTATGTAAAAAATCGTATTTAATAAACGTCGTATGTAAGGCTTGGTAGGAGGTCTTTTATATCTTTTGAGATTCATCCTACAACTCTAGGAAGATTCAAACTAGTTAGAGTTGTAATTGTGCGTATTTTTAAAATATCAATTATTGACGTAATTATTTCAACTATATTTATATAAATGGATAAATGCTATTTCCCACTATGGATAAAAATACTATGACTAAGCAAAGAGTTACACGAACTTTACAACGTTACAAAAAACCTAATTCCATGGTATTTACTTCTTTTGTAGTCTTAAGCAAGTTTCCAAGAAGACTTAATTAATCCATAACCTAATAAAATAGGAGGAATTTTTTTTTTATCGTACAAACGTAAAAATCACCATCTCGCACAAGAGAGGCAGCAAATGCCATAACATGTCATACAATAAGTTAGGAGATCCAAATTAAATACTACAAATCATAGAAAAGCACAGTGTTTAACAAAGAAACACTTCAAATCCTAGTAGATGGGTTGCTTGGATTGCTTGGGTTGATTGGGCGGTTGATGCTGCTAGTATTGTCTGTGGGAGTGTTCTCTGTGTTCATCCCCAGAGTGTTCTTCACTGCCTCAGCTGCTCCTTGGGCCATGTTCTTCACTTGCTCTCCTGTCTACGAACAAATTAATTACATTATTCTTACTGATCTTAACTGAAATACTATAATAATAATAATAACTGCTTATCCATTACAAAAATAATTAATGTGTCTAGTATAGGTAAAAATGGATAAAAGATTCAGGTATATTTAACTATTTGTAAAATTGTAATAAAAAATGTGCTCTTATGCATTCGTGAATTTCTTGACTATGATGGTAATAGCGATGGTTGTGATTGTGGTGTTCACATATAATTAATAATAGAAGTACGTGTGAAAGTAGAAAACAAAACAAAGAAGTTATAGGCAATATTGCCTGATGAATAAAGTTGGAAGCTTGGGCAGTGTAGGAACTGTCTTCAGTGGATTGGTTACAACCTTCCTGGCACTGGTTTAAAAGATCATCCTTCTTGGCCTGTAAAGAAAAGTACAAATTAATTAAGTACGTTATGGTGTGTATGTATAAAATAAGGAGTTTCTAGCTCAAATATGTAAAATCTAATAAATAGAAATGAAGCGTAAAAATATATTTAATTTGCTATCAATTTTGTAAAATATGCACGATAAAAAACTAAAAAGTCACCTGAACTTGACCGGTTAGTTCACCGGCCTGGTAAGTGATGTCATTACCTCTGTTTGCCATTTCTTTCTTACTTACTTCTTTTATGGTTGAATTAAGAATGCAGATTGATTGAATAAAATAAAGAGACTGGAGGGAAATTTATAACTAAAAAATACATTTAACTTGTGATACGAAACCCCAAATAACATGGATTCACAAACACATGTCATGATATATTACACTTTGATTATGGGGTAAAGAATGTTTCAAAGGAATGTACTTAATTAGTCAAGAGGGAGAAACCCTAGGCTTAGAGTCCGGATAAAGCTTGACCCTAAATTAATAATGCGGTTTGATTAACTAGGTTACACTGTACTTACCATTGAATACCATGCCGAAATTAATGTTTACGTAAAAAATAATACCATGCCTAAATTCTTTATGTGCCATGTTACCATATTTATCTAAAGAAACAACTAGAGTCGAATTTATGGTAACAAGTGATTTTGACACAATATTAACTAGTTTGTAACTTGAACTCAAAACGGCATGTCGTTTAGTGGGTAAATTAAATTGAAAGACCACCATGCAAGCTCAACAGGTACCCTTCTACCGCCTTCGCCACCACGCTCAACCTATCCCCAGCTTTCACGATAATCCAAAGCCTGGCATAATCACGGCCAATATAAAACAGTACAAGGAAAAGGAATGTGCTTTCTATGTGAACAACAAAACCTTGGACCGAAAATGGTAATATCCAAGTTTTACAGGCTGATACCAATCACATAGACCTTACTTTCCAGTAAACCCTTTTTTATCCAACGTGTGATCCAAAGTGACTCTTCGTTTTTTTTTTAATCAGTGGCAGTAAAAATCAAAAAATGAATTTAGGTTTAAAGTCTTGCATTACTTGGGAAAAAAATAAAATAAAGATGACCTTTACATCATAGAATTTTAGTTACAGGTTGACCATATAACATAGAAGCTATCCCTCCATGAATTTAATACCAGTAGATGAACCATACAGTTGTCCTTAGAACCTTAAGGATCACGGTAGTAATTTTCTTGACAAAAATCACTTCAATTTACTGATTTTTGCCTGACTTTTGGAGCGCCTGTTGATTTTAATTTCATCAAACTTGTTAATGAACTTTGTAATTTACTCAAACAAAACATGGCGGTGAGGGCACACACGCACGCATGAATTATATATGTATGTATATCTATATTAATTGATGCATTCGCTGCTGAAACGGGAACTTGACCCAAATTTTAAATTAATTCTTTCTTCTCACACGAAGATGGTTGCCAATGAGGGCACAACAAGAGGTCTCCTTAAGGCTGACAATTTTATTCGTTTTTTTTTTTTTTTTTGGAGTTTGCTTTTTAATTATTTATATTAAGGTGGTAATATAGGGATTTTTATATTTACAAAAACAGGGATGGAGACGGATAAAATTACCTAATCTATTAGAGATGAACACGGCATCGTCCGACCGTATGTAGATTTAAAAATCTACACACACACAGATATATATAATGAAAAAAGTATGAATAAATTTACATTGAGAGATAAATGACTTACTAGTTCTTTCATACCTTTTTTTTTTTTTTTGTTAATTTGTTGAAAAGATTGAAACAATTATGTATTATCACACTATAATTATCCCCAAATTTTATCCCATACAATTCTTCCAAGGAACTAAAAGGTTTTAGCATACAACTTTCTACCAAAAGAAGATTTAAAAATATGAAAAAAAAAATTTAATTATGTTCTAGTTTACTTAAGATTTACAAAATATTATAATATGTTCATTATTTTATAAACAAGTAAAAGTATTATTTTCTAATAAAAGATATTACTTTGACTGATCATATAAATCAAATGAATACATAACCATCTTTGTAACACAAAGATATCAAAAACTAAGAAGAAAATTACAACTTATCACATTAAAAAAAAAAAAAAAATTCTTTTATAATAATAATGGATAAATAATCTTCTAAATAGTAAAAAGTTTTCTCATGGAAGTTGATAAATCTCACTAAAACTTTCTGATGATAGGAATAAAATTTATTTTAAAAAAGTTTAGTGCCACCATAAATCAACGAATGACCAGGCATAAATAATCTTTTAGATAGCAGAGTCTCTTTATGGACATTAAAAAAAAAAAACAAAAAAAGCAAAAAAAAAAAACAAAACTCATTGAAACTTTTTGATAAAGACTGCCAAGATGAGATTTTTTTTTCTTGAGCTTGGCATCATCATAAATCAATGGAAGAACTTACCGTGCTGTCAGGCTCTATTGATGAAAAGTTTCAACCATCGAAAATTGCCAAATAGCATCAATTTCTTTTCCAACAAGAAACATCTACCACAACACAATAAAAAAATATCAAAATTCAAAATCATATTTTAATGATAAAACATCCTAATAAAATAGGAAATTCGTGCACAAATCGAATTTCAATTGTTAACACACTAAAAAAACACACAAAAAAAGAAAAAAAGAAAAAACGAAGAACCATGAAGATGAAGGGCTGTCGTGGGTATAGCTTTTTTTTTTTTTTTCCTTCTTTCTAAGAGATAACCGCAAGGAAAGAGAGAGATGATTAGGGTTTGATTAAAGTATAGTTAGAATAACAATTAATTATGGAAAGATATTTTAGCTATTAAGACAAAAATGAAAAGAAAATCACTTCAAAGGTATTTTTTAAATATAGGAAAAGCATAGCATGGTTAATACAATCTAACATGAACTTCATTGAAAGAGGCAGCGAAGAAATTAATTTATTAGAATACGACAAAACTTTTTGACTTTTTTTTTTTTGGTGTGTGTTATATGTAACTCGTGTGAAATTTATTTATTAATCAATATATACATATATAAACATGCCTATATTACGTAAAAGTAATAGTATGAATTGTTTTAAAAGTTTTTACGATAACGGTATGTCCGACGTTTACATGAGGAATTTTGGAAGGAACAATTCTGGACAATTTAGTTCATTATCCTTAGGATATTTCTAAGTATTTGAGATGCATTATATTAATGAGAAATGTGTTATAAAATTTTTGGAATATTGGAACTTATTTTTGAAAAAATTTTTGAATTGTTTAAAAGAAAATTTTCTGAATTTTAAAGGTGAAAAATTTCAAACTTTGTGTGATTTATTGAGGGATCTTAGAGTGATTTCTGGGTAAAACTCAAAGAATAAAAGTTATTCATCTATGTGTCTTCTAACTCTCTGTAAAATTTTATGATTTTTAGATATATATATATATATATATATATATATAAAGTTATGGTCGATTTGGTAAAAATCATTTTGATATACCACCGTTGAAATTTTTGAGAAAATAATAGACAAGGAATTTCCAAGTTTTAAAAAAGGAAATTTCCAAAATTTTATGAAGGAAACTATGTTTAGTTACTTGAATCAAGTTAATTAGGATGTTTAGTTAACCTAAGTTTTTAGTTAGACACCTAAGCAATGAATTAAATGAATTAATAGCCAACTCACCCATTTTTTGTCCCAAACCCACCACCTTTCACATGACTCACCCATAACTTTTACACCTTGTCCTATTAATTTTCAACACTTCTAACTTAATTCACTTAAAAGGGAAAGTAAGTATATATATATAGAAAGTGTTAAGATGGTGAGAATTTTTAGCAAACTAAAAACCACCAAATTGGGAGAGAAAAATGGCAAGAAAGAGAGAAGGAAAAATGAAAGGAAAGGAAAAGAAAGAAAGAAAATTTAAGGAAATCCAACCACATCTAAGCTATGTAAGTAGGTTTTATTTATACTTTTAATTTCCATTTTTATGTGTTTGAGTTATGTATTGGTTGAGTTGTTTGTTGTATTATTGAGCTTGGTTTGTGTTGGTGGATTTATAATGTATTGGCTTGATCTACTTGTGAATGTTGTGTAGGTGATGAATTGTGATGTTTATAATGCCTAGTGTATGTCCAAGTATATGAAAATGAGTTGGATTGGACTTGGACTGAAATTTAATTGGATTAAAACATGGTTAATGTGAGTTAGAATGAATGGTAAAATCGAGTTATTGAGGAGTAGTTTCTGTCCAACTTTGGTATTGCTTGTTCAAGGACCTTAGGTTGATTTTTGGGGTGAATCTTAAAGAATAAAAGTTGTTGATCTATGTCTTGAATAAATCGATATAAAATATTTTTATTATTAGGTTTATATAGAAAAATTTATACCCATGTTAGTACGGATCGTGCTTGGGTGAACTACTCACTGGACTGATTGAATCTTAAACCTTAAAATTATGTTATGAATTGTGTGTTTGGTATTTAAACCTAATTTTTAGATATGTTATGAATCAATATGTCTAGTTTCTAATAAAAAAAGATAGGATTTAATTATGCTTAGAAGTTGGTACGTTTTCTACTTGATTAGAGGATGCCCTATAATAAATCACAAATTAGAAAGGAGGAAAAAATGAATTCCTAGGGTTTCACTCAAGAACCCTTTCGGCCTAAGTAAGAAAATGAATAAGATTAGACCCATTTTATGTAATTAAGGGCATAGAAATCAAGTACAATTTAATTAGGTATACATTAGTAAGTTGGGATGAAAAAGTAATCTTTGGCCACTTTAAGGACCTATTCGACTTAAACCCTAAATTGTGGAAATTTGGATTCCAATACTTCAATTCCTTAATTAATGATTTAAGTACACCCTAATAAGTATAAGAGGACATTTAGATAGAAAAAATAAAAATAGAAAAATAAAATAAAATAATTTGCTAGGTAAATCGAAATTTTGACCTAGAACATTTAAAAGCCCAATTCGACCCAAAATGCCCCAATTTGGGTTCGGAGAGAAAATGTTACCTTGGTATATTTTAAACTGATTTAAAATGCTACTAATCACATACGTCAAGTGAAGAACGAATTGATATTGTAGATTCGGTACCCGTAATAAGTTAAACATGGTAACAAGGCATCACGTGCATTGGTGGAAATGAATTGAGAAAGAATCAAATGACCGAAAAACGGTGTGTATGGATAGGGGTGGTAACATAATCAAAGAAAAAAGGGTTAGCGGTCCAGTTGTGTACCTACATTGTTAGGAGATGGATTCTCGTCAACGGTGGCTACAACGAGGGATAATTCTATTGTTAGAATTCGATGATTTGGTAATCACCTACGAGTAGACCGCTAATATCCGGGGTACCCGAAATTTAAAATTGATGAGTATGGTAGGAAGTCGGAAAAGCATTGCATATCATATGCATCGCCCCACTTACCGAGCTTCGGCTCACCTCGTTGTTATTTGCATGTTATGACATGTAATAATGATCGTAGTACCAATAAGGTCGTTGTCGAATCCTCCAAAAAGGCTCGAGGGTGACACAAACCTTAAGGGATTTCATTTTGACTGTAAATTTTGAGTTAGAGTATCGATAGCCATTTTGATGGTATTATAAATAAAATAAATTATAATTTCTTTCGATGTGAATATTGTTGTCATGTAAATTATATTGTACATATTTCAATATGTAATATGTTGTTATGATACCAACATGTACGTAGTAGAGGTTAAGTCGAGTTGGACATGTCGGCGTGACGTGCTTATCACCCGGTTACTCCTATTTGGGTAATAGAGAGTGAACCGAGGTAGCGGCGTTACATTATATGTAAATGAACACATTTGTACCTTTCCCCTTTTAATTTCTTCCACCATTTTTGTTGTAGTTGTTTTTTCCGGTTTTTCACTTGTACTTTTAAATTATCAAGTATTCAAAATCATACCATATGTAAAGGTTAGAATTGTGAGTAGTTGAGGAACTAGGAGATAACAAAATGTGAACTTTACTAATAAGTATCTAATACGAGTGAGAAAAATAGAGCATTTGAAGATAATCGATCGTTGAAGAACAAAGATGGAGAAATGTGAAAAATCCAAATTTATCATTGACACACATATGTATTTTGAACGTCATCACATAAATGTTTGATGGCTCACAATTTAATCTCTGAATTTAAATTGAAAGGTGAAGGAGAAAAGTTTAAACCACTTTCAGTGGCACCTTGGTGTAAAATTTCAAATAATATAAATGCCTTGCATATTGGAGTTAGCCAATTTTGTGCCCGCTTCAATGTTGATTTGACGAATTAAGCGAGTTTCAAGCCTTTATTGTGTCTCTTCATATCATATCGGACACAAGGACACATAAAATTTTATGCACATGAAATTTTGGTAAATCTGATCATATCACTTGAACGTTGTGATTATATTTTCACAAAAATAAACTCATTTTTTTATTTAGTATTTGATGACATCTGTCGATATTGTACTAAATCCATTATATAAATAATCTCTCAAGTATTATTCTACGTTTAGATTCATGGCATTGCAGTGAGTTTTATTTTGAGAAAGTGTTTGTTAAAGGGAAAGGTGGTACCTCGAGCTTATCATTATCATTATCGTTGTTATTATTATTGAATTGGATGCGAAACTAAGAAAAAGCAATCATTTTTTTTTACACATATGAATAATTATAAAATATATATGTTGTTGTTTTTCAAATTTTAGAATACAAGAATATATATATATATATATATATATATATATATATATATATATATATATATATATATATATCTTCAATTTATTGTTTTACCGTTGTAACAGAGGACAGTAATTTGAAAGCTATAAAAAATCATAAAAATACAGTTGTAAAAAATTACAAAAGCTATCATTTATAAATAGTAATTTAAATAATGATTTTAAGAAAAATGAATAGTGATTTACTATCAATTTATCTTAGATCTTTTAATATTTTACTTAATACCATTAATACGTAAATATTCAAAGTCAATATTCCAACAACATCAATGGATCCTTTGCCTGTGGACTTTGGTAAGCTGAGCGAACTTAAGCGCTTAAGCATGAATACTGACTCGAGGAACTTATAGCTGTTAATGACCATTAATTATACGTGCTACGTTATGCAATGACCAAGGATAAACATTAAAAACAGTTTGAAGTCTTCGATCCAAAAGTCAAGATTCTTAAGCTGCCTTTTCTTTTATTGGTGGGGTTGGGGGAACGGGGTCTAGAATTTTATACGTTAAAATAGCAAGCTTAATTATTTGATGATAACTTAGTCCCTATAGTTTAGAAAAAATAATTATTTAGTTCTCATAGTTGCAAAAACTATAATTTTAATCCCTACAAAAACTTGTTTATAAGTTAATCATTTTCATATATTTCATGTTTTTCCCTAATTTAATTCTTTTTTTAAGAAATAAAAAAGAAAAAAATAAAATTAGATGATATTAAAAAAAATGATGAGAAAAAAGTATTTTTTGATATAAAATACGACTAAATTAATCACAAAAAAATATGGTTTAGCGGTAAGAGAATTATCTTGATTTAATCAGGATTAAAATTTAATTTTAACTACTCACGAATAGTTAGTTATAATTATTTCGTAATGATATCAAATTTGAGATGATTTAGTGTATAAGAGAGTCTAATGATTGACTAATGACTAAGTGTATATTGATGATTTAGTTAAAAAATAATAGATTTAGTCTCAATTAACATAAAAATTGACTAAAAGTACCATGTGTGTGTGTGTGAAGAAGACTAATTTAAGTATGATCAAGGTTGGTAAAAAACTATTTAATAATATTTTATACCATAAGGATTAATTAATTTGTTTTGATACACTACGGAGACCAAGTTACAAGGTGGCTAGTTCCAAAACGCCACATTACCCAAGATGGAAATCTAGTGCTGCTAGAAGGTGAGCGTCCGTATGTATTATCAACTTACCTCCAAGCTGCACTAGAGGGGTAACAATTTAGAATCAAACTTGTTATTAATTCAAACAAATGCCGGCCTTTCTGCAACCAATCAAGCTAAGTTTGGTGCCCATATAAACATCCTTAGCATATCAATACATATTCATCTTCATTCAATAACTTTGTAAACGATAAGGCAAATATGGCAGGTAATTAATCAATTAAACATACAAGTATCTCTCCCCCCATTTTCTTTTTATTTTTTAACTCATTACCAACAAATTAATTATTTTTTATTTATTTTATGTATGTAGGTCTTGCAGGACCAATATGTCCAACTCCATCTCCACCTCCACCTCCAGGATCCTGCTGCGAGTGTTGTGCTACTCCTATTCAAACTCAATCTACATCTGGGTCTCCCTGAAACTATTAATTTACGTTCCTTTTATAGGTGATTTTCATATTCACCATAGATACTATGAATAAAAGGAATATCTCTCTCCTTAATTTGTATGTATTCTGTACTACTTCCTGCATTTTTGCAATATTTTAATAATAAATGTGCTTATTTTAATAGATGTTAATTTATGCATTCGCTAAGAACGGTTAACTTATTAATTTGTGAAAGTCCTTAACATGAAAAAAAATATATTATATTTTGTCAAATAAGTATTTCATCTAAAAGCTTAAGCTAAAAAAAGCTTAAACTATTAAGTGAAGTCTTAAAGTATGATTTATATTACTCCTTAATATACCTTTTCGAGTAAAAACTTAAACATTTGTAATTCAAACTTATACGGATCTATATTGTCTTTTGCTTAATATTTTAAAAAATGAAAATGATAAGACTTAAACTTAGAATTTCTTGATCAATTAAGCTCAACACCATGTCATAGGACTATCTTATCTAAAAATTTAAATTAAAAAAATCTTAAACGGTTATATGAGGTTTTAAAATATGATTTATATTCTTCTTTATCAATCTATTGTTTACGAATAGCAATATTATTATTCAAGTAGTGGAGTACCATGTACGGATCCATTCGAGACCCCATATTGTCAATTCATCACTATTTGGAATTGGCCATATTAGATTGTACTAGCCCTCTTTGTTGACATCCAAACCTTGTTTAGAATCAGGTTTCAACAAGTTTAGATTTCAACCCATAAGAAAACATGCAATAGCTACACGACATTAATTAATTGTGGTACATGACAGTACTGGTCTTGAGTATATCCTAGGCTTGCATAGCGTTACTAAAGAAACTTAGCACCCCAAGGTTTCATTGAACGAGGAACTGTTGCTTTAACAAACAGGTTGCCAGCACTCAGATAAAGAGATAAATAACATAACAAACGCGTGTATTTTGATAATTTTCACAATTTGAACGTGTCAGAATTTATTTGTTTCAAATAGATACGTGGACTCTTAAAATTCTGGGTATGTGTTATAAGTTCAATCTTCATGACCTTAGCATAAGCTATTAAAAAATTAATTAGGAAAATACATTAATAAAAAAATAATTAATTAGAAAAAAATCAATTAAACTGTAAAATGACTATTGGGAAACTAGAAAAGAAAAATTTATTTCATTATTCTTGTTTAGCCGAGACATACATACAAAAGAAAGAGATGATTTTTTACTACAGTTAGCAAGAGAGAGCAACTGCAAAAAAAAATAAAAAAAATTTAGCAATAGAGATGATTTTTTTTTTTTTACCTAAATCTGGTGTTTTTGTGGTTGTATTCTTGTGATTGATTTATTTTTTACTTTTGATGCATGTTTGGTTTACTTATTTTCTTATAAAATCTAATTTACACAGGGTGATTGAATTTCTAACATAAAATTGTAACAATCAAGTGAAATTTGGAGAGATAATATGTATTATCGGATATGGAAATATTGTAAAGTGTCATTTAAGTGATGTGATAATTCTGAAATGGACATTAAGTGACAAAGAAAATCATGGTTTTTGGCTCTATAATAGAGAGGATTTTCTACATAAATATGGTATTTTTAATTGATTTATTTTCTACTCTTGATTATTGCATCTATTTAATTTAATTATTTTTCATAAAATCTAATTTATACAAAGCAAGATCGAATTTCTAACATAAAATTGTAACACAAGTGAAATTTAAAGAAATGATATGTATGACATGGAAACATTGTTAAGTGTCATTTAAGAGATGTAATAATTGTGACATGGATAATAAGTGATGAATTTATAACATAAAATTGTAATAATCAAGTGAAATTTGGAGAGATAATATGTATTATCGTTTATGGAAATATTGTAAAGTGTCATTTAAGTGATGTGATAATTCTGAAATGGACATTAAGTGACAAAGAAAATCATGGTTTTTTGCTCTATAAAAGAGAGGATTTTCTACATAAATATGGTATTTTTAATTGATTTATTTTCTACTCTTGATTATTGCATCTATTTAATTTAATTATTTTTCATAAAATCTAATTTATACAAAGCAAGATCGAATTTCTAACATAAAATTGACACACAAGTGAAATTAAAAGAAATGATATGTATGATATGGAAACATTGTTAAGTGTCATTTAAGAGATGTACTAATTGTGACATGGATATTAAGTGATGACGCTGCACTAATGACACAGAAAAACATTTTTTGATGGAAATTTTCCTCCAATTCTTTTTTTTTTTTACCTTTTACAAAAAAAATATAAAATGTACTTATAGCAATGTAAAATATTAAATTATCTTAGCAGTATAAAATATTAAATTATTTTTCTTTTTATATTTTCATATCTGATTAATTTATTTTTACTATAAGTCTAATATAAAATATTTTTTTTAGCTAGCTAGTATAACCTTTTCATGATAATTGTAATTTGAATAAAATAGAAACAATATTTTTTGGTTAGATTATCACACATAAAAAAAGATGATTTTTATAAATTATAGTTTGGATCATTTATGAAAAGTGGAAATTTCTTTTGTATTTCTTATGATAGTTATATTTGAATTATCATGTAATCTCTTAATATCCACACCATAACTACCACATCATCATTTAAATGATACCTTTCTCTCTCTCTCTCTCTCTCTATATATATATGTGTGTGTGTGTCATCTTTTCAAATTTCACTTTATTGTTACAATTTTAAAAGTTCGCACTTTCTTTTGAAAGAAAAAATTAACACTCTTAGATTGTAAAAATTCTCAAAATATACATAATTATATTTAAAATTCTCATAACTAAATGGTTGTTCAATATATCTTGACTATTTGTGTAATTGGACCCGTAAGCTGAATATCACCGGGCCAACCATTTACAGTGCTCCTTTAAGCCCAACATCACGAAGTTCCTCAATTATCACGTACACAGACGTTACATTTGCAATTAGGGACTTTGACGTTGATGGCAAAATTAATTGGGTTGCCAAAAATGAAGTTACAGCTTACGTACATGAGTAGAGTGATAATTGATGATAAGCTTTGTTTAAGAGAAAACGAAGAACTACTGATAAATGTCCTATTGGAGAACATCAAGGAAACCAGGTGATGTACCTTTCTTGAGATTTGCAGGCATGGGAAGGCTTTTCTACCCTCCATGTCTAAAAATATCTAATAAGTATTGAAATGGATATCGATAAAAAAATATATATTTATTAATATAAATTCAGAATATGAATACTCACTTTTTATCCTATTTATATCCACTAATTTATTTTGATTTTTTTTATTAACATATAGATATCTAATTACATAAAATTTAAAAATTAAGAATTAAACTATTTTTTTCAAAAACTTTGAGGATAAAAAGACTTATAAATAATTGACCAAAGTGCAAAAGATTAAATTTAAGGACCAATTTTTTTTTAAAAAAATCATAGGAACTAAAAAGGATATTTTTGACAAATTAATTTTAGCAGGTATTAAATGAGTAAAGATTTACAAGGTGATTTTTTAATGAGTAATGAATAAGATATTTTTTATGGATAGAGTAAAAAATTAAATTAATGGATTCGATATCTGCCTATTGCCATCTCTATCCACGTCTTATGTAATGCATTGGTTCTTAATGAGACAGAATTAAAGACAAATTAAAGTATGTCTCAAAAAAGAAAAAAATATTCGATTGATGATATTTTGGTTAAATATTTTTCTGAATCTTATTATACAAAAGATAGATTGAAAAGAGCATATTATATTTGTGCAAGGCTGAACTATGTTTGTTAATACTAATTTTTTTTAAAAAAAAAAGTTGCATTTTTTTCATTATTTTTCAAAGTCGGCTCATGTCCCGATTTTGAAATTTCAATTTAGAATATATTCTTTTAAAGCTAAATAGTTAAATACTCCAAATGGAATACAAAGACGTGGTAGCCTCATGAATTCTTTTAAATCAAAACAGCTAAAACGCCAATAAATCGGATTAAGTGTCGAATCCGTTAAGTATTGAATTTTAAGTGCTTGAATAATTGAGTACCGAATATGTTGCCGACAAACTGTTTGATATTAATTGAAAATTGAGTACCGAATATAATAAAATTATTCAATAAGTAATGTTGTTGAATATATTAAGGCTATTGTATGATAATTTTAACCTTACAATTGTAAAATGATATTTTTTTAACACAAATAATATATATGTGTGTGTGTGTGTGTGTGTGTGTGTGTGTGTAAATAAACTTGCACAAAACAACTTTATCAATCCAAACACCAAAGTTTCTTGGTATGGCCCAAATCAATCTACTATTACCTAGACTAATCGAAAAGCAAATAAAAACTAAGGTTGTTCTCTTTTACACGGATCCTCGCTTCATTAAGAAATTGTTTATGAACAAGTGAATTAGTAACCACCAACCATTTGTAAATGCTTACCTTTTCTACTGCAGACTAATGATACGAGTTCATTAGAAGAACTATTATAAGCATAAGAGATACAAGGTGTAATAAATTTCATAGAACCAACTAGATTTTGATTATCCAAGAAATCATGAATGTCCGAGTCTCATGTTCAAGTTCGCCTCGGTTGGTTATGTGAACTCGTTAAGACGGAGAAAGTGTTGGTGTTGATATGGTTGAAAAAAGCTTGGATTTTGATGGTGTTTTCTTAAGAATTCTAGAGAAAGATTAACTAAGAATTGCCTTAAATTGAAAATTCAAGAACTTAAGTATGATGAATTGTGTTTTGCTTACAAAATTTGGTGAACTTGATCCTCTATAAATTGCTTGATTCGGTGAGAAAGAGATGTGAATATGTGTAAAGGACATATTCAATCGGTTTATAGAGATCATTTCTCAATCGACTTGTAGGGATCATTGAATATGATGAACTTCCTCTGTTTTGGCAATGGAGATAATAGATATCGTTTCTCAATCAGTTTGTATAGTTAGAGTTATAAGAATATATGAAGGCTATATAGTCATATTTAAAAAATTTTAAAAATTTTTCAACTAAACATGTAAATCAAAATTTTTTAAGTTAAAAACTTTAACTTGCCTAATTAAATAGATTTTGACTCGAATTTAAATTTAAATTTGAGATTATTTAGGTTATCAAACAAACTTTTTATATTAAATACTATAACTTAAATTTTTTAAACTGCTGAAATAGGTTATCAAGTACACCCTAAGTATTTGATAAGGATTATATCAAATAAGTATTACAAAATGTGATTTTATTGGCAAGATACATTGGATTTAAGTTGAAAAAAACAAGATATAGATCCGAGTTTGGTCTCTATTGTATAAATTGTTTGTAATGATGTGTTTGGTTTTTATTGTGTTGTAATGTACATTAAACTATTTCAAATGACGTGACGTGTTTGGTAATCTATTACTGTATTGTTTTAACTAGATATATGACTTCAAGATTTTCATTGAAAAATAAAAGTAAATTACTCAAAAACATAATAATGCTTTCATTTTTAAAATCAAAAGTCATAAACAATCAATTAAAAATAAATAAATCAAAACATCATATCATATTTCTTCTAAGCACTAGTATAAAAACTATATATTAAGGTAAAATATGAGTGAATTATAAGTTAATCTCTTTATCTTTGCAAAATGAATTAAACAATCCCTCTAGTTTTAAAAACAAACTAAAAAATTGTCTTATTTTTTTCCTTATCGATCTTTCCATAAAATCTATTTGATTGTTTTTTACTTTTCTATTTCTTGAAAAAAGAAGTTAGTAAATAGCACGAAGTGGATAAAAGGGACAGATTAATTTATTTTATAAAACTAGAAGGATCTGTTTAATGTTCTACTTGGTAAAATATGCAATATATTTCTATTTCAAATAAAATATGTAGTTTTTATAAAATTATCTTATGCTCGGCTTTTGACTTTTAAAACCCTTAAGATTTTTTTTTTTACTTTTAATTGCTTTTCGTCAACAAATTGGAATTATACCGAATTGAGGTAAATCTATATTTAATATACCGGATGGACATTTTTTAATCTTAACAAAAGAAAAATTATTCAATTACATTTTTAACAAATCAAATTACAAGAAAGAATACAAATCAAATTAAATGGCAAATTTGGATGGTAATTAATGTAATGCTATTTTTTTTTCAAGAAATAAGTACAATGAAATCGCTCTTTCACTCTCTAGTCTTTTTTTAAAAAAGTTTTTTCTTTTATGAGCTTTCACTCGTTGAAATTTTCACCGATAACAACAACTCGTTTATTTTTTATTTTACCTCTTTCATCTACAACAGTTTCAAATCTAACAAGATCTTATTAAAATAATGAATGTCCATATTGTTAAGTACTTTACTTAACAAAGAAGAATTGAAGAAGAATTCGAGAGAAGAAGAAGAAGAAGGTTGAGAGAGATTTTGGAATTGACTCCTTTTGTTATTATTCTACCCGCATGAATTGAAAAATCCCTTCGTTACACATGTATTTGTACTAGCTAACTAACTAACTCTGCCACCTTAGCTAATTAATTATAGTAATTGCCACATCACTACAGACTAGCGATTATCTCTTCCAATCATCCTTAACAATAAATGAAAAGTAACAATTTGTAACATTTCTTCCCTCTCAAACATATCCTTATCCTCAAGGATCAAAGTAAAAATTTGAAAATTGAAGCTCTAAATCTTTCGGCATTTTCCATATAGCATCCTTCATCGTCATGCTTGTCCACCGAATGAGCGCCATGACCATTTCCTGGTTATTTTTCTTCATAATCTTTCTATCTAAAACAGCAATAGGATAGAGTTTGATGTGATCTTCACCATCCATAAAAGGTAGATCGGTGGAAAAAATAACATTGTTTCCTACCTTCTGTTTTAATAGTGAAACATAAAAAACGGGATGAACAAGAGTATTCAAAGGTAACTCTAATTTGTAATTCACTTGTCTTATCTTTTACGGAATGGAATAAGAGCTAAAATACCTAGGATTTAACTTGAAGTTTTTCCTCAATGCCATACCGACTTGGCTATAGGGTCAAAGCTTAAGATAGACCTTATATTCAATTTTAAATGTTCTTTCGGTTCTCTTTTGATCGGCCATCTACTTCATTCAATGCTATGTATTTCCCAATTGCATACCTAAAAACAACTCGTAGATGTCTCATGTAGAATAAGTTTCCTATTGGGAGGTGGATAGCCATTTAAAGCTCGGAATGTAGACATTTGAATTATTGAATGCAAACTAAAGTTATTGCACCACCGTGCCAAATGCAACCACTTATGACACATTCTTGGATAATTTATATACATACACCTCAAATAGGTCTCTTGGTATTGATTCAACTTTTCCGGTTGGCCATTTGTTTAAGGATGATAAGTTGAACTCATGAGAAGTTGAACCCCTAAAGACTTGAACAATTCTCTCCGAACACACCGATAAAAACTTTATCCCCGTCCATAAAAATGGAAACTAGTAATCCATATAGCTTATAAATTTTCTCTAAGATCTTTAGTTGTAAAGGGATGAGAAAGGGCTAGGAAGTGCCCATATTTTATACACCTATCCAAAAGCAATAGAATAGTGTCTTTACCTTTTGATTTTGGCAATCTTTCTATAAAATCTATAAAGATATCTTTTCATGTTTTTACTAGAATTAGTAATGGTTACAACAAGCTTGGATAAGCTACTCTTTCCGATTTTTCTCTCATACAAGTATAATACTCTTCCACTAGAGTCTTTACCATAAGTTTCATAGCCGGCCAATAAAAAACATGTTTGAGCCTTTTGTATGTGTGTTGAACTCTTGCATGGCCTCTAATAGCAGAGTTATGAGTAACTTGTAATAATTGCCTCCTTAACTCATGATCTTCTCCAATATAGATTACGTGCGTATACCTTAGTATACCTTAATTATAGAAAAATTGAGAAAAAACACCGAGTATGAAATTCTTTAACTCGTTTATGATCTCATGTGCCTTAACATCATACTTATATGATTCCACAATATCCAACTATTATGAAGGAATTATAGTGGT